GGGGCAATATGCTGACTCTCTGTAAACCGCTTAGAGAGGGCTGAAAGCCCTATGAAGCGGTATATAAGTCTACTGCTATTGCTATTGCTATATTGGATTCCTTCCTTTATGCACTAAACTGCTGATTGAACTAGTTTGAACTAAACAGTCTGTTACAAATTGGGGGGGGGAGGGACTAAGCAAATCCCGAGTTTAATTTATGCTTAGAATTTTTGAAAACAAAAAATACCCTTGGGCTTGTGCAGTTAAGATTTAATCCTATGGGTCAGGTATCCAACTCATCCTGCATCTTCTGTCCCTTTTCAAAATAAGCAAGGAAATCGTACAACGCCTTAATTCTGATTCTTCCAAAATGGCTCTGCTTGCTGTGCATTATTGAAATACCAAATTCTAAGTCATTTAAAAACATGATTTATTCTCCATCTGTTTCTGATGGAAGACCTATAAGCATTTAGGCAAGAAAGCAAGGAAACCTGAGTGCCAAGAATTTCTGAATGAACTTTGAAAGGAAAAGCGAAAGGACCCCCACCCCACCCCCAGCAAAAGTTTCTTTCATAGTGGAAGTGATGATAAAAATGCAAGTGTTCCTCATTCCACTGTACATACTCTTCCTTTCATAGCTGGTTGCTGCTTGCGAAATAACACAAGCTACTTTGCTTTGATCTGCAATACTTGTTTTAAGCAATTGCTTCATAAAATAGCATAATGGGAACCAGAGTTGGGGGGGTTAGAGGGAGGGGTTACTGAGGCAAATAACTTAGCATTAATAACCATAGGACATATCCTGATTACCAGACCTCAGGAGGCATGACTTTTGAAATAGCTTAGGTAACATCTAATTGGTTATTGATTTTTCAGACATTTCCCCGAGCCAAGGTAAACCCACTGCTTTTATGAACCTTGCCTGTATTTTTTACAAGGGATGAAAATATTTAGGATGACACTATCTTAATTCCTGCTGTAAGAATGAGGAGAGTTGGAGAATATGGTACCATTTGCCTATTATCCAGAAAGATAGCTTTGCTAACAAATTGTCTAGATAATCCTAATCACTAGAATGTTGTGTGCTGACCATTTAAAAAAAAACCAATGGCTTTTGTCATTTTATTTTACTAACCTGATGTACAGCTGTGACAAAAAAAAAAGATAGTTCTCAATTTTGCTTTTTTTAAAAAAAATATTAGAAATTGCTCTTAAATTACTGTATCACTGCCTCGTTTGGCAATATATTTACTGACTTGATCATTACTCATTTAACTGACAGAATTTTCCTAAACACATATCCTGTTGTTGTTTTTTTTAAAAAAAGGACACTGTAATGTGGTATGGAAAATGGAATACTATTATTATCAGCACCACATTTATCAGTGGGTAAAGTCTACTTGGCAGATATGTACAAAGACATAAAATTACAGCTATCACAACATAAAGAATTGAAAGCCTTTTGTCAATAGAGCAGCCTCCACTGCAGGCTTCAGGTCTCTAATGGGACATCTGGAAACTGCCTTAGTGTCTCTTGTGATTGATTAAAATGGACCAAAACAGCAGATTCTTTTGCTTTGACTAATGAATGCAAAATTGCAATTTATGTTTATTAGCAGCCATTGTTCACTGTCAAGCTCTCCACAGAGGCTTAAATTAGCTTGCATTTTTAACGGCAATCCTGTTTCACTGCTGAAGCTTTTCCTCCGGTAAGATAATTGTGACGTTTTTCCTACAAATGCAATTTGCCTGCATACATAAAGCCAAGTCATTCAGATTTGTCTCAATTTCTTCATATGTCACGTGTTACACTACTTGTGTCTCTGGGCAAAGATGTCCCAAGTGGAAAAACATAGTGGTGGGTTCCAGCCAGTGCGTCTCGGTACGGGTGTACCGGTGCCTGCTGGGAACACCAGGCACCGTACCGGAAAGGTACTTCGGAGGGCCCGCCCACCCACCCTCCTTACCTGTATTTGACCCAACCGGGCCATTTGCGCACGTACACGCAGCATATGGTGCATGTGCAATGCTCCCCCAAGCAGCTGGAGCGTTGCAGGGTGGTGGGTGTGCATGCGTGCGCAGCGCGCTCGCACATGGTGGGTGCCTGGCCCCATTGTAGTGTACCGGTTGCGATAGGATCTGGAACCTACCACTGGAATAACACCTTGTTGCTCCATAACTAAAGTGTCTGCGATTATTGAGGCAGAACAGTTTGGACCTCTGTTATTAACGCTAAGCATTAACATTCCTCTTGGAGCAAAATGTTCACCTAATTCTCTCTGAAACAGAATGCATGTGGAGTGACTACAGAACATTTTGTCATAACATTCCTAATGTGATTAATGTTTTGATTACAGATTCCTTCCTTCTCACCTGTTTTCCCTAATTGGACAAACTTACTATCAAGTATATAAGAACTTCTATTTTGATTTGGGGGGGGGGGTTAAAGAAAAAACTCAGACTAGTATTTGTATCTTTTTAAACAATGTAGTTGCTCAAAGTATAACTTATTTTTTTAAGTATTGTGTGTATGAGTGTATGTGTGTGTGTGTAATAAGTAATGCCAGATGCACAAATTATGCTAGAATGATTGTGCTAAACACTGTATAAGGGAACAACAACTGTGATTTGTAGACCACTTGGAATCAATCATAAAAGTTGTAGCTTATTTCTAAATGCAACGTAATTGTACAAAATTGTGTGCGTGTTTTTTCTTCTAGCAGAACAATGCTCTAGCTGCTTATCCATGTATTTCAGAATGCTGACATAATTGTCCGCTTCCTTAAGGATATCCTGGTTTGGAGTAATATCCTGCTTTTCGTAGCAGAAGTGACCCTACATTTCTCCTTCCTGGTGATAATATATAAGTGAATGTTAACAAAAATAGCTGCAATAAGGAGGGGAAAGAAGGGCCGTATATTTGACTTTTCATCCCTAATGAGAACAATCAGCATACAAAAGAAGAATCAACAACTCATCTTGTTTCACAGCTGTAATGCCCCAGGAAATGTGTCTTACAACATATCAAGTGTTCAGTCATCTCCAGCCAAGCGGCAAATCATTCAGCAAGCTTTTGTGTTTGGCTTTTTCCCCCTCAATATGCCGCCATTACAAAAAACAGAAATACATATTATTAACAAAGTAATTAAAAACACCGTGAATAACATATTTACAAAATTAAACTAATATAGTTTGGCTTGGTTATAAGGATTCATGCAGTATAAAAATATAATTAATAAATATAACTTTTATACCATATAAAACAGATGTTTTCTTAAAAGAAAAAAGTATTATCAAAAAGGCACACCATGCAGGCTTTTCCTGATGCTGTATATATACTTTATGATTTTTTCTCTCTCTCAAAAATTAAGAAAGGGTCACTTCAAGGTCACTTCTTGCTGTAATGTATTTCCTATAGATTGCAATTGAATGAGTATTAGCAAAATCATTTCTGACATTACTGTGATGGTGCAAAATAAAAAGGAGGAAATGCTTAAATGATTTTGCCAATTTACAAAATGTTAAATCAGTGAATCTGGATAAGGGACTATCAGAAAGCCCATAGAGCTACCGTATTTTTCAGAGTATAAGACGCTCTGAAGTATAAGACGCACGTAGCTTTTGGGGAGGAAAACAAGGGAAAAATATCTGCCTCTGCCTCCCAGCAATTTGCCTCCTTGCAACAAACAGTAAACAATACAGGCAATATACGCTGTTTGTAGTGTTATATTTCAGACTACACTTGTACAGATTCTGTTAAAATTGATGTGCTTTCTGGAAGTATAGTTATTCTCTGCTATTTAGAAGAAAAGCACTTTCTAAAGCAATAGCACTGTGCATCTTCGGATCAAGCATTTATTTTAAAAAGATGCTTCATTTTGTTAAGTTGTCTAAAATAATAATAAAGCAGTCTTTAAAAAATAAGTCTAATAATTTGAACATTCTATAGGCATTTATAGTTGTTGATTTACCCCCTTGCAGCAAACAGCTTGATTAGCACAAGAAAAAAAATCTGCCTCTGCCTCCCAGCAATTTGCCTCCTTGTGACCTCTAGGCTGGAGTACTGCAATGTGCTCTACATGGGGCTGCCCTTGAAAAGTATTCGGCGACTTCA